GAAGAAAACATGGATTCTCGTGTTCAAAAACACATCTCTAATATGAACGATGGCCACTTTGCGGCGATAAGTAGTGAACAACACTCGAGCCTTGAACTTGAAGTTTTAGAATCCTGAAACTTCTTAGGACTCCAGTTCAGAAGGTATTGGGGATTAGGACACATATGATATCAATTAAACATGAACAACCGCGATAATGAACAAAATTGGACCACAAACGTTTGCTACAGCAGCACTTTTCACAGCTGAGTAAGTAACTACACTTCTTTTTAACAACGGAAACAAAGAAAGACCAACGAGAGACAAATTTAAAATGACGACTCCCAACTACCGACGCAGTCACGCGTTCTCAACGCGAATATTTATAAGGCGGGAAAAGAAAAACGAAATTTGAAAACACCTCACTCTCAACGAAAGTGATGATGTAAACGTGACCTAATCGAACGGTTAATCGAACGGATTCCTTGAAGAAAAAACGAAAAAGGAAAAATCTGTGTGCTTGAGAATCCCGAAGATTTTGGAACGATCCTATATCCACTTAACGTGAAATACAAGATAAAAGCTTAAGTAAAGCTAGAAGGATATGACCTTACAACTTGTAGCACCGAAAAAAATCTACGTTTGGTTAGATTATGTTAAACCCTAAAACTTACCGGGGGCATAGTCACTAATTCGTTTGCATTTTAGCGAAATTCTGAAGAAAAACCACTAAACATCCACTAGGAACATGTGGACCGACGCCAGTCGCGTTATCGATCGCCCACCCTCTTAACGTCGTTATGGTTCCAAATTTTGTGGTGATTCCAATGTAAGCTTTTTTCTTCTTTACATAATACTGGAATGGTTCTTGAGAACACTCCAGACCTAAGCTTGATCTATTTATTTGTACAGAAATTAGAGTACTATAATGTCTTCACTTTCTACTCACGGTCTATTTGTTTTTTAACGGCAAAGTATTATGTGAAATATAACCAGAATAGCACCACCTAGTGATGATGCCACCTATAGGTCAACAACACTGCTGAGAGAGAGAGACGAAGCGAAGGACTCCCATGGTGTGGTGGTGAACGCGTAAGCACCGGAAAGGATAGTAGCGTGTTCCATCCCCACCTTAGACACCTGCGGTCCGGAGTTTTACAAATATTGCAGCATCACTGTAGAATATTAAACTCTCCGGGATTTTCGTCTCATAGATTGATTTAAATAAAAGTAGTACTTGAAACGTATTAATACCTATCCTCATAAAGTTGTAGCCCCTAAGACAATATTGTAGTTCATTTTGTAACAATTTGCGTATCTTCTCATTTCTTCACATTCCGACGAAGACACTGCTTCAGTCAACATGGATCACTCTAAATACTCGGCCAGGTGATTGACATTTCAACAGAAACGGAAAAAGTGAAACGAGAACATTGCGATAGACGCTGGATGGGTGATAGAACCGTTTTGTACACTTCGAAGATCAGTCAGTATTTGATCGTAATTCTTCTAGAATTTCAGACGTTTTATTTGAACTGGTTCGATTCCGTGCCCTGTGCTCGCTAAGCCCGTCGATTGGTAGCAGACCTGCCTGTGTGGAAGGATAGCAGCTTTGATTCGATACCTCAGTAGGCCATCGTAAGTCATTATGTAGGCCAAATATGCACTTACTCACCTTTAGCAATACTCGATGAAGTCGAACGCATGGCGCATCCTTCAGAGATTGATCAACGTCGATCGATTTATGCTTGGGAATTTTTTTCTCATTTGAATACTCAATTAGTTCCTCTTCGCGAAGAACGAATTGCAGCGTCGCCTTTCCATTGGATTGATAATTCTCTAATTACTTAAGACGTTCTTTATCTGAGGTTTAGAAATCTGTGCTAGAGTCTTCTCAGGTCGTCACCACATGACAAATATTGACCACGTTGTTACCAAGATAACAATTGGGATTCCTGCCATTGATTTGAACTGTTAGCTGACTCTCCGGATGGACATCTCGAACCTCCTTTCACTGTTTGGAAAACCTTTATGGGTAAGGTGAACCGCAGCTAGACATTGTAATGGGACAATCACTAACATGGCCTAGGTGATGAAGCATTTGAAGTGTGAACTCAGTGTTGTATCTTTCTATATTCTTGTCGACCAAATACAAGGTGTTACTTTATTCGCTATTTACGAACAACCTGAAGCCTCGGCGAACTACGCCTTCCTTAAAGTCCGGAAAGGTCAAGTTGACTGGAATCTACCCAGCCCTCCATAGTCTCCATAACCAAACAGAGAAAATGATAAAAACAGATGAAAAAGCAAAAAATAAAAAAGCTTGGCTGGGTAAGCATCAGCCAACACGACCTTTCTAGGATCTGAGGAAGGCGTAGTCCCCCGAAACGTCAGCTTCATTGTAAGTACAGCATAAAGTAACACCTTATATTTGCTTAACAAGATTATAAAGAGTTATGTAACCAATGCTCAAGATCATAGGAAGTCGGTTGTGGAAATCACTGTTGTGTCTTTATTGTGATTAGTTTTCAAAACGAATAACATCATGCGGTGCTTGTTTTGTGCACTACTTATTTGGATACTTGGATGTCTCATCTCATTGGTTGTGCGGCTCCAGCACAATTTCCACTTTTTCGGAGCTCTACTGGCTTGTGTTTCTCTGGAATCCCGAGGTCAGTCAGCCTGGCCAAAGTTTGCCCCACGTCGTCACCACCACAAGCGGTCGCCGCTCTTGTGGACATAGGGGTGAGATTTGCCACCATGCAACTTTGATACCAGGACGGTGGTGGATCCTGGCATTAGTTTACTCTCAGCTGGACTTCCTGATGGAAGCGCCGGACTTCTCAGCTTGGGAAACCCTGCCGAGGGACGAATCCCCTGCTGCACATCGCAGTCCGACGCCCAGGAGCGCCTGTCAACCAGGATGAGGAGGTGAACTGCTGGAAGTTATATCGAAACAGTTGAAGTGGGATTAAAAGATCCTTCAGTGAAACTCGGAAACTATTATAGCTAGATCTAGTTAGGTAACCATGGCGATAAATCCCATGAAATCGACTTTCAGTCGAAATTTTTGACACGGCCTGTGTGATTACGTAACCGGAGTCTACCGTAATCATTGCAAGGCAATGACAACTGGATGTTTTTACACTAATGTTCGCCGTCGCTATTCATATTTCTCTCAGCACTACAGTTCATTTTTCATTGCTATTATAGCCTGATTTTGACGAATGGTCGCTATTCATTCTTTTCAAATCGACCGCTGATCACTTCCATGTAACTCAATTATCCTACTCAATACGATTACATAAGTTTTTTTTCTCTATTTCCACCTATAAATAAGGAACCTGAATGTAATGTCACTTATTTCTAGGGATACTTCTCGTATGATATCTAATTGTGAAGCGAATCAAATGTAGGGCTCCATATGTTTATTTTTGGAGATGCTGTTGACAGTCAGATCATGATAAACGTCCCGTGTGTTATCGATTTTCCTAAGTAAACAATTTTTTTAAAGATGTATTCATAAAGTCTGCATGACATTTGCTAAGTGCTTTACTGGTAAGGGCGTTAAGGTGTATTTGCAACGTGATCTATATGGAGTAGTGGGCCCTAAAGCGAAAACTCGTTCTCGGTAACGTTGTAGCAGCATGTGGTCGCTCGTGTCGGAGTTGTTTAGTCGCTTCTCTTAGTGTAAATAGATGCCATACGTGACCGGAGGATAGAGCGATGATGTTTTACGACTATGTTTCCTATCAGCTGCTCTAAGTTCTTTCCAAAATTCCGGAACGTGGCGTCTGTTTTTCTGTAATGGATAAAATCCACCTGAAAAGCTTAATATGCATTGTTGTTGTTGTTTCCGTAGAGGAATCGTATTGCTATGCTCTAAGCTGGCTAGTTGATATGTTTTTGGTGATTCCCTATATTTCTTCTGTCTCATGGTTTTATCCCTCTAATCATTGGATTAAACCATTTTTTTGTCGGATTGCAACTTTCTAGGCCAAATGACATTTTAACTCCTGATTTATCATTATTCCTGTTCTCTATTACACATAAAATTGTTACCTTATGTCTCTCACCGTATTCTGCGTGTTTTTGCTGGAAATTAAGCTTTTCAAGGCCGATTGTTCGTCTTTTTTTCCGGATGACTTGTGAATGCATTTTTTAATATAACAGAGAATGTCAGCTGGATCTGGGCATGGCGAAGCACAATGTGTCGAAGCATTCAAACGTATGTTATACTTGGTATGTGAATATACTTTATTTTCCGAAGCCATACTTTAGTCCTATTTTACAATTAGTATGGTAGTATGGTGCAGTACCGGTAAGTAAGAATACCAGGAAGAATTTTACTTCCAACTCACGCTGCTTTTCTTCTTGCAGTATGGGGCTCATTTGCTAGTTATGTGAGATTAAGTGCAGTTGATTTTGAATTTTGGTAACCAAAAACCTGTTAACTCTTTGAATTGATCACTATTCTTACGGTTTATAAAAGGATAAAATGAAGAAAGCTCTCGGCGTTAACTAATCCCTTAGGGATGCGCCATGCATTCGACTTTCATAAAACATCGTTGGAGGTGAATGAATGCGTATCTGGCCTTTACAATAACTCGCGGTGGCACACCTATGTATCGAGCCAGTGCTGCTATCCTCCCAGACAACTCTGGAATCAGGTTGCCGACCCCGAAGGGTTGGAAGGCTTGATGAGCCACCGTCGCTGGGATCGATTTCATATGAGTGTTGCAGGCGCCTCCGACCAATGTGCTACACGCACTACACTCTAACTGTTTATATAGAGTAAAATTTAAAATATTCCAAGATTCTGTGGAGGTCCATTTCGTAGTTAGCTTAAATCAATACCTAGAAGTCACTTAGGTGATTTGTTGAGAAGCAGAACTACAAAAGTGAGACCTACATATTTTTTTCTTCTCAAACCACCGTTACTGAGTTTCATTTGTGCTTCAGGTTGAAACAGTTTGTATCACACTGAGACGTAAACGGCCGGCCAAGATTGTTGCTTTCAGATGCAGGATGTTCGACGTCGAATTGTCGAGGGCATCCTGAATGATTGTATGGTGAATGAAGCGCATATGAATGCACTCGATTTAGCTCTTGAAGAACTAACAGACTCACGAACTACTGGCGAGATGCGTCATATCTCTACACCAACAGCCGATTTTCCCATCAACATTAGGGACGAGATTCGAGGACTCCGCGTTGGTTTCTATTCGGTTTCCGTACTTTCAAAATGAGGGACAAATGCTGTCAAACCTCAATCTTGGTCGCTTTAGGATACCGTTATATTGTCCAGCTCATCTAGTCGTCGCGTACCGCTGAAAATGGTTATCGTTTAGTTGATGCGCTCTAATTTCGAAGGTACGCCAAACGGGCGAGCTGAACGACAAGTATGATGTTGTATCCTTGTGCGTAAACAGTGTCGAATAACTCATTCGATTTATTGAGAAGAGTGTAGCGAATACGACTTTGCAGAAAGACTGCGAGTTTCTACACCGTCTTTCACGTCTTGCAACTGGCTCAGTTATTCTCGAAAAAGTGCTGCAGGAGTTGCAGTTGGAAACTATCCTAGCTCCATATCATCCAGTCAGCTCCGAAAGGTTCCAAGAAGAGCTCTCAAATGCAGAACAGTTAGTCGCGTTTAAAGTCTTTTATAAAGAATATTCTGACATATTCAATTGAAACGAAGGCCAATGTTTTCTTATCATGTTCTATATTTTGTTGAGGGTACTTGGGGGTGTTATGAAATGCTACTTTTGTTCCACTGACAGAGGACTTTGCATTATTTAGATTATGCGGTAGTCATATAGCTCTAAAGCTTGTTTTAAAACATTTTTTGAGCACAGCAAAGTTTTAAACGCCAGTTTTCATCATATTGTAAACAACACCACAGTTTAAATATGTACATATGCTGAATCTTGCTACATACCAGTTAGTACCATATAACGCCCAGTGGCTATCTCATCCTTTCAGGTTTATTATGGATTTCGTCGATTCAGCATATACGGGTGTAAAACCTCTTTTTGTCACAGATTGGGATGGTACAATGAAGGACTACTGTTCGCAGTACGCTACAAATCTGCAGGCAAGTGCTTCATTTTTTGTGTCCTAGCAATAAAAGTTGGCAGTATTTGTAGTTTTTAACATTTTATAGCCAGTATATAGCGCCGTTATGTTGGGTAGATTCGCTGCAGTGTTTACTCGTGCTACTGCTGTACTCACTGCTGGACCTCTCCGTGGGCCCGGCATTCTTGATCTCACCGCTCTTCCCATTAACGGGCCTGTTCTGTTCAGGTAAGAATGTACGCTTTTTTTCTAAACGGAAACGCACTTTTTTGAAGTTTTATCGACATGTGCGTTTGGCGGTGTACAGATTATCATGCTGCCGTCTCAAGCAGCAGAATGCACCCTGGCTTTACTATTTGCCAGTTTGTTTTTACATCATCTAGATAAGGAATTTGTAATTTAATTTAGTGGACCTCGTCTACTAATGGAGTCACAGCTTTACCACATAGTATATGACTTGCATAATTATGCATAATTCTTGTGGCCCTTCGTTTACATTCTCCTTTCATTCGTTTATCTTTTGTCCATAGTTGTTAAGAGTTGTAGTCAGCTTCGAATAGGACTATTCCTGGCTCTCGGGAATCTGCACCTCCTTCGAAAGAACTGCCAAGTCGTGTTAGCATTATGGGAGTCATCTGGCTTTTTAGGCTTCTATGGAGTGCTTGTAGATTGTTTCCATAACTTTCAGCATGGATAAAGTGTAGGAACATATTTGAGACTCTAACACGGCGAAGAGAGCTCTTGGGTCACGAAGATAGGATGTAAATCTAAATTTGCAAGTTGCTTTGCTGAGAGGATTGAACATGATCCTCAACGTTATATATTATGCGGAATTGTGCCATACGGCTAAATCCTCTGTTAAACCTGGATTTTACTTAAGTTGGTATCAATCAGAACTACTTCCGATTTGCTCAGACCTGACGGAATTTATTCGTACTCGATAAACACAGGTGATTCGTTCTCATTCTTTCACTCAGGTTCCAGAATTTTTATCGCAGTGATTTCTTTCAAGTCATCGTCGATGTTCATAGAATGGCTAGGCGTACCATTTTAGGGATTGAGACAATGAAATAGCTTGTTTAATTTGCAGCTGCGGAAATCTCTACTCGGGTAGACAGCGTTTAGGTTTCGCAGTGGAGCGCAATGGATCCTTCATGTCAAGCATCTTTCGTTTTTCTGAAAAATCTTATTTATTAGGAATTGCGAGATGTAATTTTCTTGAACTCTCAGCGAGCTTAGAAACAAAACCAATACAACATCCTGTTTTCATGCGATTGATCAATGAGTGAACTTCATCCGTTGCGTTACAGTGGTTCCTGGGGACGAGAATGGTGGCTGCGTGGACGACGCGTAGTACATGAGGATGGAATATCTGAAGAGGGTTTCGATGCTATCGGTCGCCTTAGCGATGAGGTGCGAATCGAAGTCGCATGTTTTGTTTTGACGAACGTGTTTTAAAGATAATGTTGTAATTGGCAGATGACTGATTTGCTCAACGATGGTGACTTTTCCCAGTTTGCCCTGGTTGGCAGTGGCGTACAAAGAAAGGTTATCGTTATTGCTGCTTGCGATTTCTAAAGGAAAATTGTCCTGCACATAAAGGAAAAAGCGAAAGTTCGTCAACTTTCTGTTTCTCTGTTCTAGGTGGATCGCTTAACACTCGGCGTGCAAACAGTGTTTGGTCACGTTCCTATCGAACTTGTGATGAGATATATTAATGCAGTAAAGGAAAGAGTTCATCGTGTGGATCCAAATAGCACAGTGAGTTAAGGGGTTCCGTTTCAAACTAATCTCTTTATTAAAACCGTTGATTTGGAAGGTTTCACTGTTTATTTTTCTTCGTAACTTACATTTTTTTAAATCGTTCGTTTCACCAGACCATTTTGTAGTGATTTTGTAGTGTTCATACTCTGAATAGGAATGTAATAGTCCGATGCATTCTTCTGATTACCACTTTACGAATATTTATGCCATCCAAACAATGCAATTTCACATTACTGTTACCCGTAAAGTACTACAAAAATTTCAAAGTCGTACGTCTACAACTAGTTAATGTGTTTTTCATCTTTAAATCCATTATTGTCAATCTAGCCCATACAAATTGCGTTAGCAGCCGTAAAGCAATTTTGGTATGAAGGTAAAACATTAACGATTGTTTCGCACTCTTTACTTCATCTTTATGACGAGCTCTGTTTCTGATCCTTGTTTATGAATTCTGTGGTTCACGTTGTGGGATAAAAGTTGCTCAACCTTGCGAGAGATCTCAATTTAGAATTTGCTTTTGGAGAACTCTTCACCGTTGGAAATCGAAGTGTGTGCACATAGTTCAGGTACGCTGTACACATTTCCCTCGTGATTGCTAGCCTGTGATTTGCTCCGAGAAAAGTCGCGTTTCTTTAGATATTGCTTTTATTTCCGGCCATCTTTCTTGTGTTTTATAGGAGCCGTTTGGAATAAAGGTGATGGAGTGGCATCACTTATTGCTTCACTGCACGACTCCTTGAAGAACGGGAAGGTTCTAGTAGCTGGTGATACTACAAGTGACTTGCCGATGTTGCAGCATGTTGTTTCGGAAAATCCAGATGTTAGTGTTAATACCTATACCTACCCATGAATGTATAAGATGCGAAAAGTGGTTTTAAAACGTCCAAAATTTGGAAATCTTGTTTTGCAATCTTCTGGAGATCGTATGTTCAATAACTAATTAGGGAGCTTTGCTAGACGTTGCACTTGTGAAAAGCGTGCTACACATCAAGTTATATCTAATTTCGTAGTATTATTTCCCCATGGTCAAATATGAATTTTTTCACGGAAGACGAACGGGATGCCTTTCATTAGTATGCATTTCTTTTTTTTAAATCTCTTTTTCTTTTCAATATTGCGAACAGTCATATATCAGCACTAAAATACAATAGCGCCAAGACGACAGTCATGGTCATATCGTGTTTGTTAGGGCGATTGCATAGAATTTATACTTGCAATAGTTAGTTCAATACGTCATGGTTCATGACATGCTTAAACCACATCAGTCATCTGCAAAGTCAACATAACTCTTCTACGTGTTTCTTTAAGTTTCGTTTGCATTTAGGGTGTTATGGCGCTGTTCGTTGGTGCCAGTGAGTCCTTACGTCAATCCGTTGGTTCTATTGTCGGTGATGATTCTCGAGTTTGCTTCGTTTCCTGTCCTGATGTGATTCATGCTGCATTTTCACGTGTACTGGCTGCTAAAATTGAACTGGATTAGGTTTGTTTTTGTAACTTACTTTCGCTACTACTCATGCCAAGCTACGTATCCACTGCCCAACAACTAACGACGTCCACTCTTGTCGTGTATTTAGGCTCTGAGTTTTTGCTCATGAAGTCATTCCTCTATCTGTAAGAGCATGTAGTATTATGCTTTGTTTAACGCATTTCCTGTGATTTGAAGACGGTTAGCCTGTGGGCGCTTCAGGTACCCATCTATTATGACTAATATCGGATGCCTCAGATTGACAGTGTAACTTGTTTTATCTGATTACTGGTTGAGAAGTGAATGGTTTTAAGGTATTTGTAGTAACATCCTGACATTCAAACGTTTACTGCTTCATTTTACTCGTGTAACTTCGGAATTTTGAAAGGTTAAGCTAGTACTTTGTTCACCACACTTTATACTTTCAAACCACCGCTTCATTTTAACTTGTATAGGGTGTTGTAACCATTGTTTACTAATCCACGTCTGAGTTATGTAATGAAGGTTTGTTTGAAATTGTCGGCCGTTTTATCGTCATCCAAAGTCTATTTGTGACTTTGTATACGATATGTCTAACAATGACCCCTTGATACTTTTAAACCCATTTTCTTGCAGTAGTGTTTTGTTGTGTGTTTAGGACTGATGTAGCTACCACGAGTTTCATTGATCATGCCCAGGTTTATACATACTGCTCTTTTACAAGCTTAGCAGAAGTATTAAATTTGTACGTGATTTTTTCTCATATGCGTATAATGTGTACGATGTGTGTTTGAAACTTTAACAATATTCTCATGTTGCTAGTATGTTTCATTAAACCAGGTTTTGACTTTAAACTGATTGTGCTAATTGTATTGATAGATAGCGTCCAAGGGCACAGTGGAATTCCTCTCACATTTTATTCTATGTGGTTTGGAATTTCATGCTTATTTCTAATTCATTACTCATTATGTACTTGCTTTCGTGCCTAAACTGATAGAGTTAATTTCTTTTATAATTCTATTAGTGTTAAATTCTTACTGTAGCCTATTGAAATTTTGTTATTCATGGTGTTGTAAATGTTCAGAAATTTCACTGTACTAGTCTCGTTTTTCTTCTTTAACAATCCAAGATGAAAAATTTTTTTTCATCTGTTCAAGTGTCATAGTTATATACTGATAATTATCGGACTAAAAATGAAACTAGTTTCAATTTATTCGTCAAGTGGTTTTACGAATATCTTGAAGATTTGGAATGGTAAGTGTTGTAAAATTACTTTATAGTCATGTATATCATCGTTTTATTAGAAAGCTTCAAAAAAAAAACTGAACTGTTATGCATAGACCTAATATTAGCCGATAATAAACCGTAATGAACCGGAATGATTTAACTTGGTTATATCCTTATGTGACGGTTACTAGTAAGATCACACCCGCTGAGATAACGAATGCTACGGAGAGGAGTAGGAGTGAAAGTATTACAGCATGCTGGATCAAAGAACGTCTGGTCTGGCCACGTAGCCATGCTTCGCGCTCACACATTGCTTCTGGTACTGCTGGTCCTGCAACACATGTACGTAAGCTTGGCGTTTATTACTAAAATTCCGCAGAGCAGCGCAATAGCGCCTATTAAAATACCGAGGATCACGGACACGGGGCTAATTAGTTTATTATGGAAAAATAGTCCACCCAAAGCCACCTGGTTGATCTTTAGTCCTGGAATATCGTGAATGACACTGATCGGATAGATTTTATTTGCCTTATTGTTAAGGTAGTGAGTCATTTATCTCGTGGTGTCAATTTTTTCAATCATCAATGAGAACCTTAAACGCTATTTAATTCTGTTTAGAGCTGGTAGAAAGAGTCACCTTTATCACCTGTCGTACTATTAAATAATGTTCTCTTGCTTCTAGGTCTACGTCGTCATTTAGGTAAAATATCGTAATGAATTGCTGCTCGATAAAATAGTACCATTTGAAACTAGTCCTACAGTTAGATCTGGTTATGTTTACCCTTCACTTATAGTTCAATTGTTGAGAAACATGAGTTATTAGCTACACAGTAGTAAGCGTTGAGTAAATTTTGAAGCTACAAGTCAATGGACAGTAACTGAAGTTGATTAAAATATTCAGTGTAGGACGTACAACATTCATATTCGTTATTAGCTATGGTGAATTTTACTTTAGAAAAGTTTTCTAACCATATCGATAAGATGGAGTCTTCGTTTGCTGCGAACGAGGACGATGGGTAGATGGATGCAATCTACGAAACTCTGGAATCATCAATGAAAACCTTAAAAGCTATTTAATTCTATGTAGAGCTGGTAGAAAGAGTCATCCTTTATCACCTGTCGTCCTGTTGATCGTCAACTGATTCCAGCAGGCGCCAATAAAACTTCAATGTCTCCGTGTCGCGTGAAAGACTAGCCCGGTGGGTTCTATTAATTTTAGGGAACTGTTGAGCATCATGTCTTTCTTATAGGGTTTTCGTGAAGCACTCTGACCATTGCGCCGGTGGTCTTACTGCAGTACGTTTGACATCCCAAGAAATCCAGTCACTAACGGCTCTTGTCCATCGGTTGTTGTTCATACCCATTACGTGTTAGGCCCAACTTATCTTCTACTATTTGGCGTACAGAACGGTATCTTTGATTTTTGATCGTTGACGCAGGTCGGAGCTTCAGATCCCTTCCCTTACTTGTGTGAAACGCGTTAGTCCTAGCATCGTTCTTTCGACTGCACGTTAAATAACGCTAAGTGATCCATCATCTTGATTACTCAGCGGTCAGGTTTCTGACCCGTAAGTTAAAGGAGAAAGTATCGCGGGGGTCGAAAAGGTGTGGGAACTGAGTTGCGTGTTTGCTGCTCTGCTGTTCTGTTGACTACATCCTCGATACTTTTGAAAGTTCCCTAAGCCGCTCGCTTCTTCCTGCTTAACCATGAAGCTGAGTCGTTTATCATATTGATCTCCCGACCTAGAAATGCATAACCGGCATTCAGGGAGATTCATTCCGTTTGGCATGAATGGAGTATGTGAAACCAATCCGTTCTTCATGGACATAGTTTTGGCGAGATTTACTTGAAGACATCTTTTCACAGGTGTTATCAAAGGCGACAATCATTCGTTCTGCCTTGCTAATGCATGATGCTGTAAGAACGATGTCATCAGCAAAGCGAAGATGGTGTGACTGCCGACCATGGATTTTTACTCTCATGTTGTCCCATTCAAATTTTTGCATGAGGTTCTTAAATGTGGCGGCGAGATATTATCGCCTTGTCTAACCTCTCTTGTGACGTCGGTGTTAATATCGTTGTAGGATGGTGATATTTTTGTCGTGAAATATTTATTTAGCTCACGAAGATTCTTTATACACTGAGCATGGACGCTCCGTCTGTACAGAGCTTCCATGACTGTTTTCGTCTCAAAGAAGTCAAGAGCTTTAAGTCTATGCAAGTGAGGTAGAGCGGTCTCTTGTATTTTTGCAATACTTCAGTAAGTCCTGTTATAGTGTGGACGTGGTCCATCGTACTGAATCCTTTTCGATACTCTGCTTGCTTACGTGGCTATCCTTCGTCGAGAGTTCTATCAACTCTGTTTAGGATTCGAGTGAAGAGTTTATGGATGATAAACATCAATCAGATTTGGCAAAAGTCGCCGATATCGTGGAGGTCCTTCTTCCTTGAAAATAATGTGGTCTTGGTGGTCTTCTATTAAATAGGAGCCTTGCTTTCTTACGGGTAACGTGCAAAGAGCCAAGGTAGTGTATTTATGAGCACTAGCGGAAGATTCTTCAGGTGTTTAGATTTTATCCTGTCCAGACCTAGCGTTATACGATTTTTCATCGACCAATTCGGAAGCATGTCGGATTTCGGAATGGTGAACCGGTGGCGCCACATATGTATGTTTCTTTATTTCGTAGTGAGGTCGAGAAGACGTGGCTATTGAAGGGACTCAGATAGCAATCGTGTATGATTTTTTTCTCCATTGTCTTTCTGGATGCTGTAACTGTCCCGTCTGGGCGTAGAAGTGCAATCACCTTGTAATTGTTGAAGTTTCTGTGGACACTGCGAATGCTTTTCCCGGCCTCTGCAGTTTCGACTATTACTGCTGCTCTTCTCTCTTTAAGATCTTTTATGGCCTGTCTGCATTTTGCATGGGTTCGCACATGAGTTGGCCGTTATCTGTGGATTCCACGCTCGCATATCAGTTCAAGTGTTTCTGGAGAAAAACAACGTCTCTTGGTGACCTTCGATCTTTCAGCTTTCATAGCGTTAATGTGAACACGTTGAATGAGCCAACGTTGATGTTATCAAGACCGGCATCTTCCCAAGAGCGGACTAGTTTACTGAATGAATCCCAATATATGGTGTTTTTGGAATTTTGTTTTTTGAACCTAAAGTATTTTTCTGCTTTTCGCGAGAAGTGGAATCTTGCACGAAGCAGGTGATGGTTTGATCTTGTGTAGAATTTGAGAACAACAGTGACATCGGTTAGGCAAATTCTTCGATTTACCATGACATGGTGTAATTCGTTATGGGATTCCCCATCGAGAGACTTTCACGTCCACCTCTGAGAATGGTGCTTCTGGAATCCGAGTTATCATGAGCGACTTTAGTCGTTATGATAAACTCAGATTCCAATATGGCGTTCTTCAGATGTTCTTCTAGATCCAATAATAGCTCCACTGATGAGCTTAAAGAATGTATGGACTTCTCTACAGAACTTTTCCAAGTCCATATAGAACTATTCAACTTCGTCTTCGCCATAGTTTGATGTCGGTGAGTAAATGACGAAGATTGTCAAAACCGGTATTGATCCTTTTGCAACCGCAAACATCAATTCGGGTAGTTAGTTGCTCGCATGAATTGATACTCGTGGCCAAATTCGTGCTGATGGGAACGCTGGCACTGCCGATTTCTCCATTGTTGCAGCATGTTCTGAGGAACGGTTCTTTTCCGATGTCATAGACGGCGCTGAATGTATGGCGTCGTCTCGTCTCGGCTAGTCCGTTGACGCCCTACCTTATCTTTCTTGCGTGCA